TGCGCGTGCGAGAGCCATCTCAGTCTCAAGCGCTGTGCAGCCCGGAGTTCGTTGCTTGCCAGTTGCGGCCATCTTGCCATTTCCCCTCTCGCCGCATCGCTCCTAGCGCTCCCAACTCATAACGGCGTAACTGGCGTTAGCAACAACGATCGCAGGATTTCTACTGCGGGTAAAGCGCGCCCTTAAGCTCAATAATTAACCATAACCGAGCACTTATCGGACCCTTTACTGTAATAATATATTACCGTACATCATAGTAAAGTATACATTTTTAATATTCTTTAGCTATGTGATTATAAGTTATAGAGTGTCGGTAACGCAGTACGGTGTGAGACAACGTACTGTGTTTAACCCACGACAGTGCTGCAAACCGCGGACGGCCTGCGCAATACATCGTGCAGGCCCTATTGCATACGCCTTACGTTTTTTGTTTTAAATCTTACAAGTATTTATTTTCTCAACATATTTATAAATTATTTTATACTTTTTAGTCTTTAATGTGTAAATATGTTAAATCTATTTTATATGGCCTGTTAATACATAACCAAAACCTTATTATCTGTAATCAGATATTTGATCTTTACTTTGAAATGCTTGTTTTATATTTTTGGAATATCTCGGGAACAGAACCTGTACCTCTTAACTTCTGCTCTTCTAACTGTCAAATTTAAGTATTTATAGCTGACTTAAATTAATTGATATTATATATATATTCTTTCAAAATGTAAACATGGAAAATTTGGTAGTACATGGGGCGTAGCCCAAGGGAAATATGAAAATTAAATGATATAATATTGCATTGTCATCCATTTGTGAGCTATGTTTCAAGTCTGTAGCTCATCGAAAACTTGGTTTAAAATTTATATCAAAATTTGTAAGAAAGCGAGCTAATAAAAACAAGCCCATGGGGCGTAGCCCAAGGGAAATATAAAAATTAAATTATATAATATTGCATTGTCATCCATTTGTGAGCTATGTTTCAAGTTTCAAGTCTCTAGCTCATTGGGAAGTTAGTATAAAATTGATTGCAAAATTTGTACCGGACAAGAAAGCGAGCTAATAAAAACGTTTAAAAAAAATATCACAGATGTTGAAATATAGCTAAGTTTGAAGTAAGCTCAAGACGAAAGTACCGATGGTGTGACAAAAAAATGGTGTCGGTAGGCCTACTATTTACAAGGACAAAAATATATGCTTCACCTTTTTTAAAGTATAATTTTATTTAAAGCAAACGAAATAGGGTTTTACAAGGTTGTTTTATTTTACAGGTAAGCTGGTTGAACCATAGACTAAACAACACGAGTAGTCTCCTCATCCCATTGTAAGGTACCAAATTTTAAGGGGGGTAAAAACGTACTACGAATAAATGAACACCAGAACTTACCCGATTTTCAACCACAATAGCCTACTCCTAGGCCTATGTGTTGGCCATAGCTTGGGCTATGGGCCAAAGAACGTAGGCCTATTTTTATTTACAGTGAAGTACACAAACACATCCACAACTACATATTTATCCATATTAGCACTCCACTTTATCAAATAAAGCTAAACTGGCCGATTTTACAGGTATTTAACGCCGCCGACGACATAACCCCAAACTAGTGTTTATTTGTTGACAGACGACAGACGAAACTAGACCAGCTCAACAAGTGAATTCGATCAGCTGTTGTCTAGTAGTACTTGAGTTCGCCGCTTGAGCGCGTAAGCCTCGAGCGGGCAGGAACGAAGGATTTTGCTCCAAGACAGGATTATTCGTTCACACGCCGTCTACGAAGTAACATCGTCGTTACAAGACTACTTACGCATTCCCGCCGATCGCCGATATTACGAAGGTTAGCTATTCTAATAGTTAGACCATTTCTACATTTTACTTTATTTTCGTTTAACGCACGCATTCTCGTTTTACGACTATTCTCGTTTCAGAACTCGATCTTAAACCTCTAAATTCTAATAACTTCGTTTTCGCCGACCTGCATAAAACCCGCCAGTCCCTGCCTGCCAGTGACTAGCGGAGGATTATCTTAAGTTTGGTTTTGAATCAATTGGCTACGAAATTACGTTTATTCTGTTCGTTTTAACGATTAATTATTATTTAGATTATTTTTAGAATTCAACGTTTTAATACCCCGAGACTTGTCATTTGAGTTCTAAACCCCGTCTTTGGCGGGTGAAACAATCAAGTCTTGGGAGCAGGCTGAGTTGAATAATCAGCTACGAATATTAATATTAAATCATATCACGATAAATTATCCGTTCAGTCATATTAATTAGGCCCCCGACGACTCAGTAGGAATTGTTTTTACCTTTTATTCGATATTATATCAATTATCAAGGTCTTTAACTAATTAGTTGCAGTTTAATACGAGTATTTACATCACATTGGCTAAGATTGAATACTCGTCGGCCCTACAGAGTCATTCCAAAGGTTAGGCAAAATTTAACAAAACACTTTAACGAAGGTAAGGATGATATATAGCTCCAACTGAGCGTCTGCAGGATTTCCTGAACGTTTCCTGAGCTCTGAGCCTTCGATTAAATTTTAATAAATTGATCAGTCAAAGCCGTGACAGCTTCGTATCGACCCCTGGATTTTTCTCAGCTCCTTCTGAGCACTCCGGGGAAGAAATTTGAGTGTGGCCGGTTCTAGGGTAGGCCTAGCCTGACTTAGGTGAATACTAGTTTATTCCCCCCTAGAATTTTGCGTCACACCATTGTAAATTATGAAACTCGTTTTTCGTGTCTAGTTCATGGTTGTAGGTAAACTTGTTAATTTAAAATTCGTTGATCGATACAGTAGTTGAGCAAAGCGAGCGAAGCTCTTTGGGACCAACTTCAATGCAACAAATAAAGCACCATCACTCGATAACGGCTGAACGCATTTTAGCCAAACTTAACAAAATTACTTAGACTAATAGTGAGATGGTTTTTAAAGAAACAAATTTCAATTAGATAATGCTAATGCAATTTAAAACAAACTTAAAATTTACAATTTTTAACAACATTAGGCTTATGGGACTAAAGTAGCCATGACAGTTTTATGAATTAACTAGAAAAATTTAAACAAGAGAACCATAAGGTATTTCTGAACTTTCTAGACTTTTCTTTTAAACGTTTTTAAACCATTCCTATGATTTTAATAAACAAGAAAATGCCGTTAAAACATTTTTTTAAGGTGCGGAATTCACTGAAAATTGAGAAAATATACGGAACTACTTTCTCAATGCGCGGAGCATCAACAAGGAGCTGAATAACAAGATGTAGTAAAAACAAATTGGAATTATTATAATTTAAATCAATAAAACAAGCATTAGTACATCTATTGACTTTTTTACATTTAGTTAATTATACAAATATCAAATCACGTTTGTTCCGCTTAACTGGCTTTCACTTCTCTGAAAGCAACCCTAGTATATTCTGTTAATACAATTTTAAATAACAAATTAAATACTAAACATCAATTCAATCCACAGCCGTGCGTCGATTGGGAATCGCACTGTCTAAATCGTCGTGCCGAATTAGTTATTGCGATCAAGGTTAAGTCGATACCGGCAATAGTTGCTCGCACTGAACTAGAGCTACAACCGAAGGTAGCACTGAATGTGTTGTGAGAAATGAGAGACGTTGGCCGCCATATTTACTAGGGGAATAGTAGTTTGGAACTAGGGCATTGCAATTGCCAACACCCAATGAGCAGATTGATTCGTCTAGTGGTACCAATATAACAACGTTTTACAGTGTCTCGATTTTATAGCAGAAGCGTGACAATGATACATCCATTTGGATGATTTCAGTCTACGACTATTTCGTTTAAAAATCAAGAGTGGTTCCCTGATTCCGTTTACTTATCACACTTAGATACGATAAATAACTGAGAGCGCACGATAATTTTGGGCCGGCATGAACTACGCCGGTTGTCTGATTCAGAATTTAAACGAACAACAAAACATTGCCCAATGCAACTTCCGTAGACATGTGAGTATTTATATGGAATTGGTATCGAGATCATAAGTAATATTTCAGAACTGGTATCGAATCGAGAAATTCTGTTATCGGCCTATCCCTATTAAAATACAATTATTCAACTAAGACGCGTAATTCAAGCCATGGCCTTAAGTTTAGAGACCGAGTTTGACTTTGTTCCAGCTATGCGTAGATTGACACTGGTACTGCTGTCGCTGTCGCTATGCTGCTACAGGTTATTATTATAGTTAGATAGAGCTGGCGGGTGGCGGCAAGTCGGCGTATTCTGTCAGTGATTCTCGAATCTCAAATCTTTTCTGAGGATTCGGTAGATTGGAGATTCGGATTCGACTCATCTGAGCTGCAGCGCCCGTTTTGTGTCGTCGACCGTCGTGTCTCAGTCTTTCGCCCGCTTATTGACAAGTATGAAGTACGGAATGAGGTGTTAAATGTGAAATGTTTCTTAATCAGCATTTTCTTACAGTTAAGGAGGATAATTCAGTAGTAGCGATGGGTAGCAGGAAAATATTTCAGTTCTGGCGGGGAGCATGTAACTTGGGGTGGTGATAATATATAAGCCTAATAATGTAAAACCAACATTAATGATCCTCAAGTGAGGATTACTCACTCCATAGAGTTATCTATTTTTTTGCAAACAGGTGTTTGGTAATATTGTATTGTATGTAATGAATCAAACATGATGTTAGCGGCAAAGTTTCTTTGGTCATTTAGAATGAGGGATGGGTCGGTTTTGGTGGCGTTATATATATGAAAATGTTCTATTGTATTTAGCTTGTTGTTTTTGGGTGCTTGGATAACGTTTCGAGGTAGAAACCTAGGTCTCCACTATAATAATAAATTGGATCGTAAGGTAAGCCTTAAATTTAATTATAATGAAATTTTGTATTATTAACCTCTTCTGAAACAGCACTACTGCAAGCAAACAGAGCCTTAAAAAATATCCAACCCGAATCCGATCTCAATTTATATTACACTATCCACACACCTCTAACAATATTATTGGTAAAGATTTGACTGACCTGTGATTCCACGTGGTCTTGAGCCTTGAGTGTGCCAGGCTTGGCCATCATCATGCCTCTCTTGATGTCTTCTCTCTTGACTCCTCTCACCAGTGCCCCCAGCTGGTCTCCAGCCTGGGCCTCCTCTAGGATCTGGTGGAACATCTCAATACCTGCGGCGACATAGCAGTTCATTAGCCAATCATCTCAGAGTGGAAAACAGGGTAGAATACTGTGTAAGAAAAAGTTAGTATACCTCTGGATAAACTGTGAGGTTGCACAAAAATGCCTTTCAATTGACCAACAGCATTTTAGAGAAGATTCAATAGACAGTTTGGTCATTTTAAAGTAGTTATTTAAATAAAAGGCATGCCTTTTGTCAGGATATTAAATACAGGGTAAACATACCAGTAACAGTTGACTTGAGTGTTTTGCCAAAGCCTACAAACTCCACATCTTGACCCTTCTTGAGAACTCCTCGCTCCAACCGACCTGTCACCACAGTGCCTCTACCTGCCATCAAACATCACACTAATGAGTTACTTCACTTACAGAACGACAGTTACATTAACAACCTACATCCATAAACTTTACATCTTGACCCTTCTTGAGAACCCCTCACTGCTCCTAGCATATTCTGCAGGTTTGCTGTGGCAGGGGTGTCTTATTTCATGACAGTTTAGATTATTTAAATAAATTGTTGTAATCCATGTTTGTTGGTTGTACTGTTACAAATAATTTAGTACAATACCTACCATAAATTACTATTCACAGAATAATCATTTATAAAAACTCACCTGAATATGAGTTTAAAATGCCATAAAAAATCTAACACAAACCTAGAAGAAATTAGTTTTAGCCAATTAAAATATTTCTTTGAATAATTATAACTAATTTTGTAGAATTTAAGAATCCAACAATCCAACTAATCCTTGAATGTAATCAGGGTGTCTAGTTTATTTCCATTATAAAATTTAAGACTAATTCCAGACTTTTCAAGACTAATTCTAGATTTTCAAGACTAGTTTTTTCAACAATTAGTGGGTGTTGATACCAAAATGTATCGATTCGCAATTCTTGATACCGACACTAATACTACACCAACCCCTGTCTATGTCATAAAGTAGTATTATGATAATGTGGTGTTTTCAAGTAAAGAATAATGCAGCAATAACAAATTCTAACTATAAAATTTGGTTTTTTTATCATGAAATCTTCCGCGTACCGTACGTTTAGACATCATCATTGACTGCAGCGGTTACAGAAACGTGATCGTCGTCGTCCGCGATCACGGCAAAATCATGAACATTTCCCGCGGCCGTGTAGACATCATCGTCGTCTCCCGCGGTCACGGAAACGTCATCGTCATCTCCCGCGGTCACGGAAACGACATCGTCGTCGTCCGCGATCGCAACAAAATCATGAACATTTCCCCCTGCCGAGCAGATACCATCGTCGTCTCACGCGGTCACGGAAACGTCATCGTCGTCTCCCGCGGTCATGGAAACGTCATTGTCATCTCCCGAGGTCACGGAAACGTCATGGTCATCTCCCGCGGTCACGGAAACGTCATCGTCATCTCCTGCAGTCACGGAAACGTCGCCGTCGTCGTCCGCGATCGCGGCAAAATCATGAACATTTCCCGCGGCTGTTTAGACATCATCGTCGTCTCCCACGGTCACGGAAACGTCATCGTCGTCGTCCACGATCGCGACAAAATCATGAACATTTCCTGCGGCCGAGCAGATATCATCGTCGTCTCCCGCGGTCACGGAAACGTCATCGTCGTCTCCCGCGGTCACGGAAACGTCATCGTCGTCTCCCGCTGTCAAAGAAACGTCATCGTCGTCTTTCTTGGTTTCGGAAACGTTATCGTCGTCGTCCACGATCACGGCAAAATCATGAACATTTCCCGCGGTCGTGTAGACATCATCGTCGTCTCCCGCGGTCACGGAAACGACATCGTCGTCGTCCGCGATCGCGACAAAATAATGAACATTTCCCCCGGCCGAGCAGATACCATCGTCGTCTCCCACGGTCACGGAAACGTCATCGTCATCGTCATCTCCCGCAGTCACGGAAACGTCGCCGTCGTCGTCCGCGATCGCGGCAAAATCATGAACATTTCCCGCAGCTGTTTAGACATCACCGTCATCTCCCGCGGTCACAGAAACGTTATCGTCGTCGTCCGCGATCACGGCAAAATCATGAACATTTCCCGCGGCCGTGTGGACATCATCGTCGTCTCCCACGGTCACGGAAACGTCATCGTCGTCGTCCACGATCGCGACAAAATCATGAACATTTCCTGCGGCCGAGCAGATATCGTCGTCTCCCGCGGTCACGGAAACGTCATCGTCGTCTCCCGCTGTCAAAGAAACGTCATCGTCGTCTCTCTTGGTTTCGGAAACGTTATCGTCGTCGTCCACGATCACGGCAAAATCATGAACATTTCCCGCGGTCGTGTAGACATCATCGTCGTCTCCCGCGGTCACGGAAACGTCATCGTCATCTCCCGCGGTCACGGAAACGTCATCGTCGTCGCCCACGATCGCGACAAAATCATGAACATTTCCCGGGGCCGAGCAGATATCACCGTCGTCTCCCGCGGTCACGGTAACGTCATCGTCGTCTCCCGCTGTCACAGAAACGTCTTCGTCGTCTCTCGTGGTTTCGGAAACGTCATCGTCGTCGTCCACTATCGCGGCAAAATCGTGAACATTTCCCGAGGCCGTGTAGACATCATCATCATTGGCTTTCGCAGTTACGTAAACGCAAGACGACGATCGCGCCAAAATCATGAAAATTTGACTTTGAAATCAAATTTAAGACTAAATCCCGACTTTTCAAGACCATTTTGAAATTCAATACTAATTCCCGACTTTCCTGACTACTAGACACCCTGATTTGTAATCATATTACACAACCCTGGTGGTATAAACTCAATTATAAAAGGTTAAGTATATTTTAATAAATTTAAACATTGGGACTACTTGTTAGTAAAAAACATTATTGATTGTCCCTGAGAGCCCATTCACACGAGGCCACTGGTTGAACTTTGTTTTAAATGGGGGACTTAAGATGCGGACACTGCAGTTGCCCGTCAGGACATAGTGGCTGAGCAGTGTCTCCTGGCACAACTGCAAGCCAGCAACCGCAGTGGCAGCAATCCTTTGTGGGACTTTTACATTAAATGGGAGCCTTAAGATGCGGACACTGCAGTTGCCCGTCAGGACATAGTGGCTGAGCAGTGTCTCCTGGCGCAACCGCAGTGGAGGCAACCCTTCGTGGAACTTTTACATTAAATGAGAGCTTTAAGACGAAGCCACTAGTGGCCGCCTCTGTGGAAGTATATGCATCAACTGTTTTGGGATAAACAGTCATCAGTCCACGCTTAAATGGTCCTTAGAGGTAGTTTCATTTACATTTACTGGTTTCTAGTTTTTATTTACACTTCATAGAATTGTCATATTTATCGGTTTTTAATTGTATAAACTTATTTGTTGTTGCACTGGTGACAAAATATATACAGTAAATTTATTACAGATGCTTTACAATTGTGCCTAATTTTTACTTTTATTACTGAGTTTTTATTGTCTGTAACAATAATATCACGGTGGCAGATGTTTTTGCTTGCACTTGTAAAGTCATTTGAATGCAATATAATCCTGAGGTTGAATGCTTGTTTTCATCATTGTGTTAGTTTAGGTTAGGGACGCTTTGATAATAACTTAAAAGTTTATCAAATGACTTTTCAAATATTTCAAACAAATTGGGTCGACACACAGTTTGTCAAACACAGGGCCGGACTTAGGACTTCAGAGGCCCCGGGCGAATTTGCCGATGGGGCCCCCAGTATGATTATACGAGAACAAATACGGTACACAATGTAACGCATATTACATGCACACTAATTTTAAATAGGCAATTTCAAGGTGAATTAATATGTAAACCTGTTAGAATAGTATGCTGTATTTTGCATAATTTAATTTTATGTAATATTTTAAGTCTGAAAATAGCTACAATGTACGGTGTTATGTTATGATTTGTTCTTGTTGTAATTGTATTTATAAAATTTTAGTATACCTAATACCAACGCCTTACACATTTTTTTGCAATACATTAAAATTTATTATCCTTTGCAACAAATAATGAAAACTATAGATAAAATAAAAATAAAATAACAAGGTTTAGTTTAATTTTTTACTGTAATACACATTCTTGCTTGAATGAAAACACAAATAAAAAATAACTAACATTAATTAATGTAATAAGTTATATTTAAACATGTGATGTAAGTCAGAGATAATGCATAAACTTTTAAAGCTTTAATATATTTTATAACTTACTATAATTTTACTAACAAACCTTTTACATGCTTTTACTAAGTTTATAAGATACAAGTCAAAACAATTTTAAAGTTTACTTTTTATAGATTAATCATTATAAGGTTTAGAACATAGTTATTTCCCCTATAAATAAATGTCACTTCCTACTCTGATACATTGGTCACGTTGGCATGGCAATTAAAACCCCCTTTTCCTACATTTCTTGGCTGCACTAAAACTATAAAACCATAAACTATGACTTATGTTTATTTTCATAGTGGTTTTGGCATGGAATTCTCGTTTGTATAATATGTTAAAGTCCTAGCATGAAAAGTACCATTAAGAACTTTAACGAGTTTGAGTTTTTTCTTGACGAGTAAAATGTTACAATACAAGTCTAATAACCAATCACAAGCTAACCATTTATATGAGTAACTGAAAGATGTTTAAATGTATTCAATATCTCAGATTAATACAACACAAACATAACATTCAATATAACATTAATTTGTTCTTTGTAGTGTTTGCAGAATTATTAATAAAATACAACACAAAAGTACGACAATGTCAACCAAAAACACACTGGGAGTAAAGTGATTTAAATTGTTTTGGATAGGCGATAAGACATTGTATGTATGTGTATGCGTGTGAGACAGACAGGACTAGACAGGATCCCTTATCAGCTCATTATCATTTATTGTTGCAGTTGCTTGTTGCTTTTTTACGATTTCAGTCTACAACGCTCGCCCGCTCCCAAATAATGTATTTTTTGTCAACATCAGACGACCCTAGTTGTCATAAAATGTCTATATAGATTTTTTTAGCCTACTGGCGCTGTATGATTTTGACTAACGACTAAATTGAAGATCCAAATTTTGACGTATAACTTAATTACTATTTTACAAAACCTTTTAATTGAATGGTTAATATAATACTTCTGCCCCTTAAAATCGTGATTGGCATATACTTAGAGGTAAAAGAATAACATCTAATAAAACATAAACAGAGCAATGTTTTATTTTTCAAAAGTATTAGAAATCCATTGAATCTCCATTTAACCCAACACAATTGTACAAGTTACGTTCTACGTTAGGACAAGAGTTTTCATATTATTTATTGTATTTTTAGCCCCAAGCGAAGGGGCCCCCTTCAACTCGATCGCCGCGGCCGTACGTTTGTGTGAACGGCTTCATTGAAACTCAAACTGGTCCGTCACAGCCTAGCAGCTATGCTCGTGTAAACTAGTGCAACCCTGAGGAAAAGTCCCTTAGAGTCAAGAATTTTGGTTCTAGTAATACCTTAAAATTCACCTAACAATAACCTTAAATATAGGATAACGACAATAAAGCTGTTAAAACAGAAGGCCATTCGGTAAGTGTCTGACTAATTTTCGAAGATATTAATAAAAACTACTGTGCAAGGGGCCCTTTCGGGGCCCCCCTAGGCCCGGGGGCCCCGGGCGCTCGCCCCGTCCGCCCCTAGGTAAGTTCGGCCCTGGTCAAACAATGTAAAGTCCATTGGCCTTCCTAGTATTGGAAATACAGCAGATATTGGTGTATTTCACAGCCACCAGTGGCCTCGTGTGAAAGGGTCCAGACATTAGTTCTGAGGGAGTGCATTACCTGGGATGGAGTAGGTGTTTTCAACAGGCAACAAGAATGATTTGTCTAGATCCCTGACTGGAGTGGGAATGTGTTTGTCCACCTCTTCCAACAATTTGGCAACTGCGTCTCTCCCTGGGAAGGAAAAAGGTTGAATTTAACATAGCTGGCATACCACAATAAGACGCTTGACAGTCTTACACATTTGATAATCTGACGTGCAGTAGTTGAGTTGACATCACACACTGTCTGCACAATTCTGGAGTACTAGTCGTTAGTTTTTTATTCAAATCACACTACTTATTTTTTTATTATTATCCCTAAATTGATTAATTTGAGTGTCTAATGGTCAAGTACATAATAAGTTGACATAAGTATATTTCTTAGTTCATAAGTTATTTGCTAAAGTCGGGCATTTTTAGTCAACCCACACCCTCCTGGTGTCTTCAATTTTGGGTGATCGAGAGACAACCGTACCATCAATTGATATCATTTTTTTATTTAATCATATCACGCACAAGTTTTAACTGGTTGATTAGTGATGTAAAACCATTTTGTTTTAGATCAAGGTGGACGGACACTCACTACCGGTAATCTAGAACGTTCAGAACTTCGGCACTGCCAGACCAGATACCACTACAATAGTCTAATATAAATCGACTGAATAGAGGGGGTTATGAGTGAAATCAAACAGGGTTATTGATAGGCCTAACGCATTAAATTGTTTAAGGACAATTAAAACAAAAATAACGAGTTCTGTCCAAAGTTTATTGGGCTTAGCCCTAGCTGACCGACAAAACAAGCACGACTGACGAGACACCAGCGACAAGAGAAAATCCCAAATACATATTGGCATGAACCTGTTCTCACTGGGTGACTAACACAACAAGGCGTCGCAGTGTCACGCGATCTTTGGTCGTGCGACAGGTACATGACGCAGGATCCTTTTTCAAAAAGTCACTTTTTAGTACTCCTCTACGATGTAATCAAACATATCAATAGGGGTGTGCAATGCATTGAAAATGCATTGAAATTTCAATTTGATTCGATTCGATGCATCAAATCGCGATTCGATTCAGCATGCATTGAAATCACGATGCATCGATTTGGCCTCGATGCATCGAAAAAGACCGATGCATCGATTAAGTCCCGACGCAACGATTACGTCCCGATGCATATTTAAAACTAATTTAGGACTCCAAAATGAGATTTAGATAGGGAAGTGTCAATTATTGCTACCATCGATACTCGGACATTGCCGATACTAGGAATATCGGTATCAAGAATCGATTGCCAAACGTCGATTTTGCCCGATTCCGCCGATACCGACACCCGACAGGGATGGATAGATATTTTATTTTAAAATTTATTTATTTGATATCGATTAGTTTTGCAATCACGCTAACAACTTTAGTAACCAACTTAGCACACTATTTAGTTCAAAACAGCTAAAGTTTAGCTTCAGCTGTTCTCTCTGCAGGCAGATGATATTGCACAACACAATACAATCTACATTTCAAGATGTCAGACAGAGTGACAGAGACAGTCAGCAGAATTCAGTCTCAGACAACCTGCGCGCGAGTGTCCTCAACACGAAATTAAACTAAAAAATGTCTGTATCAATAAGTCAGACCTTTAAATGTATTATTTTTATTTTTAGATTAAAATAAATAACCTAAACTTGTCTAAATGTTCAGTTTCATCCCTGCATTACGCATCATTAGAAAAATTTGATTCAATTACAACATCGTCGAAGTCAGAGGGTTAGGCTTGCACTTGCCTATTGCACCAAAAAGTAGATCCATAATATATCTGCACTATCTACCTAGTTTAAGAGTTTAAGTGAAGTTTTAAGTGCTACTATAACATAAGTATTGATTGAAAAACACCATACGCATAGTCCATGTCGATTTTGTAATATTATAATGAATGATAAATGTTGACTATCTAAGTCATGAATCAAAGATAAATCAAATGAAGATGAATTTATCTAAGATAAATCAAAGTATGTAACAAGAGTTCTCATTGGTCGAGAGGCCACGCTGCACTGTCATGTCAGCCAATCGACGTTCGTGTTTCAATGGAGCGAGTGACGATTGCTTTGATGTCGTTATTTGTGTGTGAGTCTATTATTGTGGGAAGGGTTTAGATAAGATACATTGATAAATATCAAGAACCATTATGTATGACGTGTTTGTTAATAAAGATAAAATTAGGTTAAAGTTTAAAACGGTGTGATTTTCTTTTGTCATACAAAGACCTAGATTTGACGTTCAATTATGTCAGTTAACTAAATCTTGACATTATGGCTTTATATAATATTTTAATAAAACATCAATTATTCCGATTATACATCAATATGAATATTTTGGCTCAAAACATCAATTGTTCCAATTGATCGTTAGCATAGACTAACCAACACAAGGGAGTAGGCTATGTTTTATCTATGGTTGTAGTTACGTGTCGTACCTGGCTGGTTCACAGTGAATCCACTCTGCCCTGCCCAGCCTTGTTCTTGGTATCATCAGGAACACAAACACATTTGTTACTAATTAAAACTATGGAATGTTTGTTTAAAACACCCGAAGAAACATATTTTGCTGCACAATGCACACAAGATTCTTTTACACTGTAGGCTATTTTTTTTAGAAAAAATTGTCGCATCGTTGCACATTAATATTTCTCAAAAATTAAAAAATAAATGAAAAAAATTATGTTTGCGCTCAATAAATTGTTATAATTTATAGGTCTACAAATATTTTAAAATAGCCACTTTGTTCAGAATTTTATGAGGATTCCAAAAATATAATAATATAAGGAAGTAGGTTTGCAAATAAATAAGTTATGGGCGAAAAACAGACTTCGGTACATAGCGTTTAGCTAAGAATGCATAGCCTAACCATAGCTAGGAATCTGGCTGATAATTTACATCAATATCACACTACCTACTTCTTCAGGATCATCAACCAGCCCTTCAAAATCACTTAAATCTTCTTATAATGCACCACGTATATCACTACTTTTGATTTTTAGCACTAAAACAATGATAAACGTAATAAAACACATCCAGTCATCGGTGCGAGGTTAACCAAGCTGTTTACAAATACGCACGTCAGCTGTCTGCTACAATATTTTCGGAACTAAAATGAAAAGCGTATAGAAACAGACATCAGGAGAAAGCTCTGAATCTGCTGAAAAAAACTATACCTAACTCGATCCAGTTCAATCCGATTCAGTAAGTCCCAGAGCCATCGCCGTAAACAGTGTTTGTGAGTCGCAAAAGCGACACATAACACTACAGCGGATGTGTTATGAGTCGCTTTTACGACACATAACACTCAGAGGGTTAAACTTATTGAAATTAATTGTATCAAACGTGCAGTCTTTTTCTCTTTTATCAAGGAGATTAAACAAAACATAATCTTTCTTTTCTTGAAGGCTAAATTAAAAGATATCTTTACATATAAAAGTAAAGAAATAAAAAACTGACAAATGGCTGATAAAATTCTGATAAGCCCATTTATAAATTAGAGTAAATTTTATCAGATCTATGCTTTAGTCATTGAATTCAAACATTTATTTTAAAATTAACACTCATAAACTTTTGTTTAGTAGAATTATGCAAGCGACTGAGGGCGAGGGAGGGAATGTGAACCAGACTTTACAAAGGGCAAGTCTGCCATTCTGACAAACTTTCTCTTTTCATACCCCTTGTCCCGTTAGACAGGGGGAGGGGAGGGGGTGCTTGCTTCACTTCACACTAAACACCCGCAGTTCGCAATTGTAGTAGAGTTGGAGTTGTTGTGGTAGTGACGTAATTCTGTCGTCTGCTCTTCACAGCTTACTCATCAGCGGCTTACGTGAAATTATAATTGATACCTCATTTTTGTTGATAGTCATTAAAAAATGTTGGCCTCCTCACCCTGTTCAAGGGAAAAAGTTAAGAAATAAAATGTTTGTAAAATGTGGTTTGTTTTATTATTCTGTATTGAAAAGATATCGTAATTTATTAATGTGTTTTAAGCTAGACTTAGTGACTTTTTCATAGATTAACAAATGTTGAAGATATAAATAGTGAGAAAGTGACATTATATATTATTTAAGTTCTAATTAATAACTATAATTCTTTTTGGTAGGCCTCACTGATCTCTTTGAACTTTTTAGTTTACTCACACTTTTATTAATTTCAATCTTTATTTTTAATTTCAGATCTATTTATTCAGAGCATGCAATAATGTATCAAATAGACAGTAAACACTGATTATAAACTTTTTTGGTTCGTGCTGATTTAAGAATGAACCAGAAGTATTGAAAGCCAACAAATATAAATGTGAAAATTAAGTAACAATACTACATCATAAAATAAACTCTATTTTATTTAATACAGGTCAATAATAATAAACTTAACGATTGCTTTATTGATATATAGGCTTATTCTAATTGTTAGTGAAGGGTGAATTTCCTTAGGCCAACCATAAAATTAGCAGTGTTCATTAATGAGGTTAGGTCAGCAAATATCCTCTTGTTCATAATTTTATTTAGTACATTTTTTACTTTAACTTTTTAAGGTAAAGGATCCATTACAGAAACACATGTTGTTATTTAATTTTTAAAGAAAATCATGCCGTGCTGCATCGAATCGAATCACATCGATTCGAATCAAAATTCTTTGAATCGCATCGATGAATCGAATCGAAAAAAATATGCTGCATCGCACACCCCTACAATTGACATTCGAGTACATTTTTGATTGTACAACAGTTCATGGTAGTTTCGTAACGTCCCATATAGAAGGTGAAAGACGGCAAACTCAAACTGTTCATTAAGGATCTTATTCGTTTGCAGCTCTGGTTTCCGCATGAATAGAGTTTCATTCATTACAAATACGCGCAAGTGACCGTAGAGCTGTCCATCAGCAACAACTTGCGCTATTATCTCTGCTATGTACTATGAAAAGAAAGTTGATGTATGTTTTAATACAAATTTTTATTCTGTAGCAAATTATTGTGAGTTAGCTTTTTTCAGTGAAACAAAACAAAAACAAACTAATGTAAACAAAGTCATATGATAAATAAAAGAAATTATCAAACAGTTGGTTGAACACAGCACCTCTAACCTATGTTTTAGAGTCACAT